AGCTCGGCGAACAGATCAACAGCCCCCTGATCAATTACCTACCAATACACCCGAGCTTCCAATATTCCAAAACATTACCAAGTGAAACTATTTTACATAAGGAGAGTGGTTAAACCATGGACTTAGTTGAGAACATAAATAATTATAATGGCAGAATTTTGAAAGAATACGAAAATAATGGGATGTTGCTGGTTAAGTAAGCAAAATCATAACAAGTTTTTCGTCTTGAACCGAACGTCGGACGAAACGGAAGGGCGAATCTACACTCATTTGCAAACTAATTTGGTTTTTCGATACTCACCTGGAGCCCAGCTGAATCTCTCGGTTTTGATGCTCCTAGGGAACTGAATGTGCTGCACCAGATCGCCTCATGTTTCAGTCGCTACGATATTTGAGATATCGTGATGCATATATATTTTGTGATGTACGACTCATAAGGCTGCTGAAAACTCCTCGAGAATTTTTCAGCAACCCAATGAGTAGTGCATTACGAAATGGAAGAGCCTTGATTAGCAGCTTTCATTGTTCCCTCCGACGATAATTCGAGTGAATGACAAGCCGCTCTACCCATTTTCAACAGAGGTTTTGATTTTTATTCAAGAAGACTCGTAAATCCGTTCTGCTTTCAGGGAATTTTGTCTGGTTTGAAGACAGGGGTTGGTTTTTGACGAATGACTTATTTCAGGGCAGCGCAAAACTCAGCTACGCAACACACGGTAGCTTACAAAGCATTATTGCGACTATCACTTTGTGTCACTACATTTTTTATCTCCACATTATTTTCAGTGGAATTTATTCCCAGAGACACTTGCGATTTCCCATTTACTGAAATAGGTGTACTTTGTTTCCATACATGCTGGTTAAAGGTATAATTTCGATGCAACTCACCAATTTTTATTTGTCGTTGTCGAAGTGTAATGTCTATGTTTAGCATTCAATCCATAGCAAAAAACCACTGCTGTGTGCGAAGGGGCGATATTTTGATGGCCGTTCGCAGTTCCGAATAATTCAGAGTCAGAGAGTACTTTATACCAACCGTTTTGCCTTGAGGTGATTATTGAGCCCACCAACTCGTCCTAGTTGTTGTAGTTTTCCAAGCTAGTTACTGCAATACTCGACGGGTAATTCTGCTTTACAACGATGCACTGATAATATCGATATCCGAATCCATTCTCCTCACCTAATGGACCAGTTTTGTAATTTATCAGGTCCTTCAGTGGAAACCTACTACACTTATTGCTATTTATCTCTCGTAAAAATCTTGCTGGTGACTATCTAATAGATAGCAACCCGAAATCGAGCCAGCTATTGATCATGTGATCGATTTCATCTATAAAACGGGCCATAACCTACTCGTGCGTTTCGGATGTAGGCGGCTGAAGGTCAGAAATATGGTTTTAATGTCCTGAAAATGAGCTCAAAAGCAACAATAACGTGAGTTAACTTTGATCAAGAAGAAGAAGAAGAGGCATGCACATCATTTGAGAAGTCTCGGAATATAGTTGCCACCGGGGTAAATGGATTGACGGCTCAATCATTTATAGACAACCCCGTTCCGGATAACTCTTTTTTTGGGCGCCTTGTCATCCTGATTTCCGATACCCAGTTGAATGCGCCAATCGGATTTCATGAATTTGGATAAACTGTATTCATTCACGGATTCAGCATCATGCATCATGTCATTGTGCCGGATTCCACCACTCACTCTGAACTTCTAAATTTTAACCCATGCCATTAATCAGGAATTCGTATAGTACATATGTCAATGGTGACTACATTTCATTGAGAAATCTAAAATGGGCTGATAAAGCAGAACAGACTATAGGTGAGCAAGAATAGGCATTCGTCCTAACGCCGGGGGGATATGGCCCTTCGTATAATTTTGCCGGGTGATCAGCTATTTGATTCACTTCCAGCTGAACATTGGGAAAATCAATTTTGTTGGTGTTGCGCTGTCATCTCCACGGGAACTATAGTGGTCAGTCATTTCACTGTGCCACGTGACTGGCCTAAAAGCTTCATTTTAAACACGGGGGTAAAATATCCTGATGAATGGGGCATAATCTGAGGACTTACGGAGAGGCAATAATTGGAGCTTCGTGGTACTAAGGTTCACGTCAAGAGCTTGCACACATGTGTAAGGAAGTATTGGATAAACAGTTCAGACCAGTGGTTTCCTTCAGGTCTTTTTTACGCCAAGTGACAATCCGTCCTTCTAATCACCTTCGTGAGACTGCGACTCCCCTACGAGTGACTTGTCTTGAAACTGAGAGGATAAAACCTTACTAATGGGAAATAAGTTACGAAATTTTACTTCCGAAGATGCTAAAGGCGTTGTCATCCTTTTAATGCCAATCTCTGAGAGAAAAGGAATAGGGACGTTGTAGTTTAGAAAAAAGTTCATAGGGTCAGTCAAGCGAGGGGCTATAGCCTTTGAAGACACACTGATTACTTTGTGTTCGTGTGAGGTATTGCCAGATCGGAAAGTGCCACGCAGAGAAATTCGAAATATAATTTTCACACCATCATTCTCAGATTGTTAGTATTTGTGCCTGAATATGTTACAAACTAGTCATCAGTCGGCAACGCTGGATGAGTCACAGGAAAGCCGAACAAATCCTTGTGGTCGTTGGCTTGTTCACTGAGCTGGGCAATTTGAGTGCAAACGTTTCGTCACCAATTGAGGTGATATCATCGGTGCGCTGTTAGGGCGCTTGCTATAGCGTAGCGATCGGTTGGTGGTTCTGCTTTGAGCAGTGTTGTGTGTGTGCTAATATACAAGCTGTTAGCCAGGGTTGACCTTCGATCACGATTGGTTGTTCGGTCGGTCGGTTCCTGTGTCCTGATTGATCAATGGCCACGTACTTTGTGAGCCTGGCCTCCCCTGTCATGATCGATGCTGGAGTGACCTCTGTGGTTGACCTCTCTGGGTTATGGCTTGTGACCTTCGTTGATCCGACTCCAAACAGTTCCTGGCTTATTGATTTATAAATGCGACATTTGGCTCTCCTTGAGTATTCCGGTCGTGGAGTTGATCATTTGCAAACAAATCATCATATTCACCAAGCTGTATTTTTCAACTTTCTTTTTGAACATTTTGAGAACTCGAGATCGGGTGACTAGTTAAGAAGATTTTCGCCCACCCCATTCCAGACAGGCTTCAAGAACAGAGACCAGCCTCCATCAGAATTGTTTGGACACTGCCGGGTCAACTTTCACCAAGTTCGCTCAGTTAATCAGTACGTGAGATACCAAGACACTCAATTTTTTGTGGGAAAACCCCAGTAATTTGAAACGAGCACTTGATAAGGTTTGATTCGATCCGTATCTCCCAGCCCATGTAAGCCTGTTGTTTTCCGTGCCTATAAAGAGCCAGATAATTGGGATGTTTGAAATTGATGAGTGCGTACATTCTGTTCTATAATTCCCCTATGACTTCTTTGAAAATAATCCCAGTTGAGCGTAAAATTTATGAAAATATAGTTCACT